GCAGCCCTATTGATTTTGCCAGGGAACTATGGCCCATGTTCGTATCAGCCAATCTAAGGAACCCAACTTAAGTTTTCTGTTAGGAATTACAGTGTTAGTCAAGTGACTTTCTCTGCTCAGAGGAGAAAGTGCCACAAAGTCCATGTATATTAAGTACAGAAACTGCCTCTGGTGACCATATTCTTAACTTTGCCCCATCTAAATATTCTAGGGAATAATCAGTGCCTAAACCTCATTAGAAGTGGCATATGCACCCAAGAGTTCTTGATCACCAGTTCTCATTTGATTTCTGTTTGGTGGTAGGTCTGCTTGCTACTGCTCACCCATGGCAGAACCAATGGGTTCTGGTCATGCTACGCATATGCTGTACATAGTCAAGCACTTGGGCTGCCTGTAGGCTGAGCAATTATAATACCTTTATTTCCTGCATCATAGAGAACTCACATTTAATTAGTTTTTCCTGAGTGAAACTGATACCATGAGGGACTGTCAAGGAACTGATTTCAGCTTGTGTACCATTGCAAGTCAAGTTTCTTTGAAATATTTAAGAGAAGTTTATCAAATAAAATGTCAGGTTATTGCTGGTTTTATTTCAGTCTGCATAAAAGTAGAAATAGGGAATTGGCTCATTTTCTTCCTAAGCTACAAGCTTTACTGTACAATATTTACAATTCTGAAAGAGATTAAGGCAACTTTGCCTATGGGAATATAAAATAAAGGCAGTCTGGGGAGGACATCAAAACTAATGAATTATGGTTTCCTCTGGAAACCCCCTGCATCTGTGTACCTGCACAACCATAATCACAAAGTTAGATTTACATTATAAGCTTCTTTACCAGTCTGTCCATTCTCCTAACTGGCATGAGGTATCATCAGTTTTCTCAACCAGTGCTGACTGACTACATCATAGGACAGCCCGGCTGGGAAAGGATGCTAGAAGGTTCCAACCAGTACCCACAGCCTGTACTGTTGCAGGGAATATGGCTGAAGTGTGCCAGCTGGCAGAGGTAATATCACGTCTGTGATGTGTTCTGCCCAGCAGCTAAGCTCTCATCTCAGGCTCTCTCTGCTACCCAGATTTTGATTTTTCCCAAAGCTGGTGAGGATGTGGTATCGGTGGGGGAGGGCCTGCCTTGCTGTCACATCAGCCAGAAACTGACCAAGAGCAGAAGTCCCTTGGGGGAATGAGGGAGAAAAGCTGAACAGGTAGGCAACTGCCACATCCACACACGCCTCCTATTTCCCAGGCATCCTATTTCCCAGGCTAAAATTACAGCTGCAAGCACTGAGACTCTCCACAGAAACCCAGACAGAATCATAAGATTAATTTATATTGACACTTTCTATATTCAGAAGCAGCATGAAGTTCCCAGTTCTTATTTTAAAAGCAATATTAAGATAAAGCGATGCTCTTCTGCCATGCAGAAATGGTGGCTGGACAGAATAAACTAAGAGTTTTAACATAAAGCGTGAAGGAACAGTGTCAGTCACCTCAGTGGCATTCCTGATTTCTGAAACGGCATTATTAGGATCAGTATCTCTCATGACCACGTTTTCATCTGGCATCTCAAAGAAGTTGCTTAAAATAGATGAAATTACCTCACCCTGGGTCTTGTCTTATCAAGGAAAAAATACCATGTCATGTCTGTGTCAAGTTATTGTCTGATCTAGCCCTTGCAAGGTCTCTGCTGCTACCTCACTATTCCTGTTTGGGGAAAATATATCCTGACACATTTCATCTGTCAGGCCATGAGTTAAGATATGATGCCTTCCAGTGTAAATGTGAAATCGGAAGCAGCTGATCCTTTCGTCTACAAAGAAGCAAGCAAACCCTGAGAGTCTCAGAAGAAGATCACCAGTGCCCAAGTAAATACGCACAAGATCAGGAAAGGCTTTTTCATAATTGGCTGAAATTGCAGAGCGCTCCAATTGACATATAAAATGCAACCTAAGAAAAAGGAAGGCAAGGGCACTGTGCCTGCACTGAGCTGTATGTGTGAACAGGTTGTCATACAATAATAAATGAAACCATAATGACAAATAGAGTAGTAAGTTCTCGGAGGCTTCTAATCTACCTATTTAGGCGATGAGCCGTATAAATCCTTGTTGTCTCACCTAGCCCTCCATTGTGCAAGCACTATGATCAGGATGATGTTAAATGTCAAGAAATTTGTTCATTCATTACATGATAGGATGACAGCTTACTTCAAAAGCTTCCTGATAAAAGGGACACAAGACATGTTCTTGATTTATGCTAGAATAATTTATTCAGCTCAGGTGCATTATTCAACTTGCAGAACTACAGTGTATTAATTATGTTATATGAACAAAACAAAGTACATGGGTATATTTTCTCAAATCCAGAAAAATTACAAAGCTGGTGTAAAAAGCAACCCAAACCCAGCACTTCCAGCTTTTGGAACCAGTTATAGGCCTAGACAAGTTTTAAAGTATCTACATAACAATATGCATGAGGAAAAATTTTGACTACATTTTTGTAGTGTTTAGTTATCCTAAATACCTAGAATCATAGAATGGTTTGGGTTGGAAGGGACCTTAAAAGTCATCCAGTTCCAACACCCCTGCCACAGTCCGGGCTGCTCCAAGCCCCTTCCAACCTAGCCTTGGGATGGGGCAGCCACAGCTTCTCTGGGCACCCTGTGCCAGTGCCTCAGTGCTCTCACAGGGAAGAATTTTTTCCTAATGTCTAATCTAAATGTCCCCTCTGTCAGGCTAAAGGCATTCCCCTTGTTGTGCCACTAAAGGCCCTCATCCAAAGCCCCTCTCCAGGTTTCTTGTAGCCCCTTTAGGCACTGGAGCTGCTCTGAGGTCTCCCCTTAAGGAGCCTTCTCTTCTCCAGGCTGCCCCAGCCCAGCTCTCTCAGCCTGACTTCAGCCCTTGCAGCATCTCCTTGGCCTCCTCTGGACTCACTCCAACAGCTCCATGTCCCTCTTATACTGTTGCCCCGGAGCTGAACACAGGACTGCAGGGGATCTCTCCAGAGCACAGCAGAAAGGGAAAATTCCCTCTTTTGACCTGCTGCTCACACTGCTTTTGATGCAGCCCAGCACAGGGCTGGTTTCTGGGCTGCAAGCGCACACTGAAGCTAGTTTGTGTTGAGCTTCTCATCAGCTGTAGGCTGTGCAGCTTAGGTTGTACATCTGTGAAAGCCATTTACTTACAAAGACTTTCAGATACTTTTGTATGTAACAGAATGATAAATTTACTGAATTAAAGTAGCGGAAGATTTTAGGACATTCAAATTAGCTCCATTAGTCGCAAAGTGACTGAATTGAAAGAATTTTCCTATAGACCAGGAATAATAAGAGCTTTTTAAAAAATCCAGGAGCTATTATCTCTTAGATATGTATGACTCGAACGTTTCGTAATGAATCTACAAAATGTATGAGTTAAAGTCACAGAATACAATTTATATTTTACTGCTGTCTTTTTCTACTGCTTTTTTCTCTTTTGAGGATGTGTATAATGATGTAACTGTAAATTAAGGGCTTTGTTTCTGGATGTGGTGTCACTTTCTCCTTTTCCTGATAAAAGAGGTTACTGCCTGGTACCCCTGAGGGCTACGTATTCCATTGGGCTATTGTGTCCCAAAGGCTGCTGCTCCATGCAGGGGACCCCTTGTGCCCCCATCTAGGGGGAGGAAGCTTTCACGACTCCCAGGGTAGCCGCTAGGGATTGCTGCTTGTCATCTGTAGCACTGAGCACAGCCCCTTCTCAGGGCTCTCCTTTGGGCCTTTACAACCCTAACTATTCTGTGATGATTCTGTGATGATTCTGTGATTCTTGCACATTTGTGTGTGGTCAGTCCCAATCCTCATGCTTCACGTTCTCGCTCTTTGGGAGGCAGGGACTGCTTGGCTTGTCTTCCTGCTGCTGCTGTCTGTGGCTCTGTGGCTTTACTTTCCCAGACTGCAAGGGGTGTTTCTTTCAGGCTAACCTGAAGAATGAATGCATCAGCCTGCTCCTGGCTGCACATGTGTGTTGTGATGACGCTTGTGAGCATCAGCTCTGAGAAAGAGTAAAATAAGCAACCATCCCAAAGCAAACAAAATCCCGTAACTTAACATAAAACGAAGTAACATAAACTAACATAAAGTAACATAACATGAAATGAAATAAGATAAAAATAAAAGTAACCAAACCAAAACCAAATGGAATCATAAAATAAAAAAATTGTTTCCACTTGTAGGCTTTGTGATTTGTGTCCTTGAAAGTGTTTTTGGAGCTGAAAACTCCTGGCGTTGCAGGGAAATAAGTCTCATTGTTATACAGCTCAGGGTGAGCATAGGGAATGGCATGGAATAGAAATGGAATGGAGAAGTATTAGATGGAATGGAATAGAATGGAGAGGAATGGAATGAAATGGTGACTGCTGCGTTACCAGTGGTGTCACAGTGACATAGGGGTGACGGGGCCCCCCATGCCCAGCCCCACAGCTCGTTTGGGACTTTAACCTTTCTCAGGGTTATTTGCCTACCCAACTTTGTGGGAAGGTGTTCAGGTCTTGTCTAAATCCCTGGAAAGTCTCTTTTCCCTTAGGATTTAGTACTTTGAATCCTGAAAGAGTAAGGAGGGTACTACTTTAGTCATTTTGCATGTTGGTGCCAAAATTCACCTGTACATTCATACTATACAAATAAGGGCATCTATACCATATACATTCACTTGGTTGTGGTGGTGCCACAGGTTAAAGAAATGCTTTCGGTTCCCTCTGCATGAACTTTGCAGAGAGATAGAGAGCATGCAAGATTTCCTCACCATTTCTTACCAATGAGCACCAAGTGACATTTGCTACTACACTGTTCATGGTGAGGTCATCTTCTTGGAAAGAATGGTTTTGTGTTCTTGATCATCTTTTTTCTTTACACTTCAGTATCTGTTTTACTCCTTTGGCCTTCATCCTTAATATCTTTCTTCAAAGGGATGGCAGCCCTCTCAGCCTTTGTCTTGCTCCTTCTAGTCATTGTCTTCTTCTGTAGGCCCTCCATGCCCCTAATCAACTGCTCAGTCTTTGTTTGCTCGCATCCCAGATAAAATTTGTCTTTCTTGAACATGAGGAATGAGAAATGTCCATAGTGGTACAGGTGAATTCTATTCTATTTTAGCAAGCAGGTAAGCTAATACCAGGAATCCAAGGTCATTAGACTGGACTTGGAAGTGGATCAGTGGTGACATCTGATTTACATGTTGTTAGAGAAACATCAGGATGGATTAGGTTTGGGGGGCTTGTTTGCGTTTTGGTGTGGAGGTGTTGGCTTTTGGTTGGGTGGGTTGAGGGGCAGTTGCTGTTGGAAGTTCTGTTGGTATCATTACAGCATCCTGAGCTAGTAGCTTGCAAGCCCCATTTACACCTCTGGGTAAATGCCAGCACTCTTCATATCAAAGAGTATCTACTATCAACATAAATGAAATGTTACAGGTATATGTACAGGCAAGTAATTTCATATCTGGTCAGGAGGTCTTATTTTCTTCTCTTCTGCAGCTGGAGCTGCAGTTAATAATAAGGGCTGTCACCTTATTATCTGAAGTCCTATAAATTTTAAATATTAATTCATGCAGTTTTATTTTTAGCCTAAGATCAAGCTTTGCTTTCTGATGTTTTTTGTTTCTGGTTTGTATGTGAATCAGGTCTTAATATTCACATTACATTGTCTGAGTCTCTTGCATGATATTAGGAGTTATAGTTTATATTCTGTTAGTCAGCCTTGGCTGCTTTGTCTTCATCTAGGCACAGACCCAGAACTATCTCTTTCCAGAGGTGTCTCTGAGGGAGAGTCTGGGATCTGCTAGATAGGAATTGCTATTCTTCACTGCTTTCTACATGCGAGTTTGGGGAGGGAAGGGGGGAGGAAAGAGCTAGAGAAGATGTCTGTGCAAAGTGGAGAGGCCTGAGACTTAGGTTCAAGTGCTGGGCATGCTACAAAATTCCTTTGTGACCTTTTGAAACCAGCTTTAGCTATGCCTACCAGCAATGCTGTGGAAAAGTTCCCAACGTAGTTGGGCACCCAGAAGAGTGCTGTTATTCACACAGCACTCTATTTAGGCTACTTAACCCCTGACTGAGAAGCAGGATACCTTCCAGGCTTGAGTGTCTCTCCCCAGTGCTGCACTGTATTTTTAAACACCCCCTGAGGTTCTCAATGCTTCAGCCTTTCTCTGTGAAATCCTCCTTCCCCATTTTTTGGGGAATCACACATTTTTTGACTAACTGCAGGGAGAGCTGCTATTCCTCACGCTACGTTTGGATGGCACCTAACAATGGATGTCATAATCTCCAGCCAACAGTGTGATACAAATAAACACAAGGAGTGATTTGCTATTATTTGCTTGTACTGCTCTATCAGCCAGAGATGGCAAGCCAATTTTACACCCTTCAGAGTGAAAGCATAGGTAAGCCTGCAGGTAGAATGATAAGATTATAGATTGGATTAATCTTTCAAGAGGGATAGCATGATCTGTATCACCTATCAGACAACTGAAGCGATCTGGATGAACCGTCTTGTTCCAGTAGCAAGATAGATTAAAGGCAAAAAAACCAGACAGAATATCACTTAGACAGCATAACGGTGCCCATCAACAAGTCAAACCCCACTGGCTATAGTTCTGCTTCCCCAGAGCACCTGGCTGGCCTGTAAGTCTTCCTGTTAGCTGTCACAAGACGGAGCAGGAGCCAGTGGTCCTGCTAGGCCAGTTCCCAAGGAACCTCTGCAGGATGGAAGAAAGGCTGCGCTGCCTTCTCAGTGAGTTCTGCCTCCAGCTTGCTGGGCGGGAGCTTCCCCACTCCAGAAGGCACCTGGTTCCCTCTGTCTCCTTGTAGTGGTCTGCACTTACTCCCAAGTTGTTTAAGGGGGGCAACCTGATGCTGGTTCAGAAACTTGTGTGACAGCCTGCCCTGGCTATTCTGCACCTTGTCCTTCTCCTCTCTGCTTCACAGTGCTGACAACCAAGTGGTAGCTGATACTGAATCAAAACCACAATGTTGAATAAAGCAGGAGGGGAAGAGATACAGCACTTGCCTTCTCAGCACTGAGCCATACAGCCTACCAGCTGGTATAGCATTTTCCTAAAAGCCAACTACCTTTCCAGCCAATAATTGCATGGTGCTCTACAAGTAGTATTCTGAGGCATGCTGGGGTTTTATTTCCAGGATTGTGATCTTATTTTGGGCTTCTTTGTATTATACCATGAATACTGCTGTTATACTATGGATCTGAAGGTCACAGGGGCATGCTACAGTTATGAAAGATTAATGAGATGCTTCATTAACCTTTGTAATTTTGACTACTAGGAAATAAGTCATTTGTGGTTTTTTTCAAGAAGAAGAAAAAAAAAGTTAGTAGAAGTGTTAGTAAAGGAAGCAATATACTTTGGTGTTATTAAAACACTTCTGTGCCAGAACTTAGCACTGGTTTAACTTTATCTTCACTGCTCATACCTTTACTTCATTCTCCTTTTCCTGCTTTCTCTTTGCCCTCCAGGCCTGCTCTCTGAGAAAAGCAGTGATCTTCTCAGTGGTGGAGGGGCATCCAACAGTGGTCTCACCAACAAACCACCCCAAACTGAGATTTTATTCAGGGAGATTTTGTTCTGTCATGACTGGGGTTTTAATATTCTTTTCCTTCACTTTGTGTGTCAGTTTTCCAACATCTCCCGTGATTTAATGGTGATTTTAGAGGCAACTTTACTGTAGGTAAAAGGAGAAAGGTAACTTCGTATTCATGTAACTGCTTTATGGCTGCTTTAAAGGAGTATAAACACAACTCTAAAATACAGATCTAAGAAAGGAAGAGTTTACTTCCTGAGACTCAGTATTCTGCATGGCAGGACAATTTTAGACTGTGCTAGAGATTTGTCTCTGTGCTGTAGTGAAGAAAATGTGTGAATGAGAAAACACACAACAGTTTTAACTTTAGGAAGGCAAATATTATAGCGTGTTCAGATTTTGCCTTAGATAACTCAACACTTCGTTTTGATATTGTATTTCTTTAGTCATATTGTACTTTGACTTCTTTATAAGAATGAGAATTCAGTGGATCAAGCACTGTACACAAATTTTTCCCAAAGTGCTTTTTTGAATCTCTTAAATCTCATTAAAGTCCAGTAAGCCTCAGATTCCTGAATGATTCAGGTGTTCTGAAAACTCCCCTCTAGTTTATCCTCGTTAGTAATTACAGCCCTATGTCCAGTAGCTAATAGATTAAAATTAGAGAAGATAGTAAAATAGTCAATGTGAGCCTTATTTCATGGAGGAGAAACGTCAAAAATATACTAAAGGAAAAGCTTTCACGCATGGCTAAGTGCATCATTAAAAGCTAACTTCCATCTCTTCCTGCCCTTCTCCCTTTGTTAACTCAAAGATTGAGTGGTTTGTCCATGCCCACACTTGAAATGGGCAAGAGATGCCAGACTCAGTACCTGTTGCCAGAGCCCCTGCTGCCGTAATCACAAGCTAGTCCAGCTCCTCTCTGCAGTCACTTTATTCCCCATATTAAGAAACACAGTGACATTACAGTGTCCACAGCAAGGCTGAGAAGCTCTGTAATCTCTGCAAAACTGAGAGCTTTGCCTTTTTTATTTGTCCCCCATTCCCTCATTGGGGTTGTGCAGTAACATCCTGTGCTTTTCTGAGAGTAGTTCTTTTCCTCCCACAAAAAGACAAGGAAGGAGGAAATGCTGGTGCACTGTGACTTCAGAATATTGTTCTGTGCTCTTGATGGAGAGAGATGGGATTTGGAGAATGCAGAGGGACCGTTCCCAATGGTTCCCTGAGCATGACTTCCCACTGGATGGGTGTTGGGTGTAAATCACACTGTCCTTGAGCCCCATTCCTGTACCAAGCTCCTTGCCCATCCACCCCGATACAGCTGAATTGTCATGACCCAGAGATTTTCTTTGAGTTTTAGCTTTTTAATTTCTTTCAGATGTGGAGGATCTTTGGAGAACTAACTTCAAAGAACTAACAAAGAACAACTCTTAAGGCTGAGGGAGCAGCTTGGTGATACCCAGTTGAACTTGCAAAAGTTACACCAAAGGCTGTGGGTGAAATACTGGCCTCACTGAAATGAGACAAATGCAGTCAAACTTATTTATAATGGAGCATCGGGTCTTGGGTTGCCTTGCCAAGGCCTGCTTGGAAATGCCCATCAATCACCTCTAACTTGTGTGCCTCATCTCCCAGTTCAGTTCTAGGGCCTTTTTTCATCCTTTTTTTTTGCTGTAAATACACCATTCCCCCCCCCCCCCCTTCTCACACAGGAACTGGGGAAGGTCAAACGTCAGTCCCTCTTTTTATACTGGACAATTTAAAGTCTATAATGTTGAACTCTATATTGAATGCTTGTCTTAGTTCAAGATGCTTCTAACTTGGGCTTTTCACAAGCTGTTATTGATCTCCGCTTCCAAAGCAGTAAATCCTTTTGTGTAGTAATTCCATAAATACAGCAGAGTTTGGGGGCTTTGAATCTTCATTTGATCAAAAAATACCAAATCTCTCAGATAAATCTATAGCTTTCAGTGTTAGCTTTGCAGCTATTCAATCATCTTCTCTTGGATGCTAAATCAAATGCCTTGAGTTTATCCTAAGTTTTTTCCATGACACCTGTTGTAAGTATATTGTCCTCAGGTGACTGTCAATTAAATAATAATTTGCATTTATCATTATGAGAAGGAAGTTATCCACTTAATTTAACTAACTCTAACTCTTTCCCCTCTTTTAATTTATGGTCACAGACAGCTATAATTTCAGCAGGATGGAGGGGGTAAATTAATTACCTTAATGTTAAGAATTACTACCCTAAATGCCTTCCTGTAAAGTTCTTTAAAAACTGGATTAGTGAACTCTAATCCCTATTTATTAAGACTATTTATAATAAATCCCATTAGAATCTTCCTTCAAAATATATAGATTGGGTGAAACTAACCTCTTACAGCACAAAAGAAGGCAGCATTAGTTAATAATTCAGATGCATGGTCTGAAACTGATTCCTGAGCTCTCTTCTTGGCTCCCTGTGGTTTAGCTGCACAGCAGTGTGGGAAAAGTAGTTGCTTCAACACCTTTAGCAGGAGTTGGAGCCACTTCTTAAATG